CTCGGGAACCACAAAAGCTAGGCGGCTGAAATTTTAGATAGTGTTCCCCGCCAATGGGTGACGCGCCAAATTTAAATTCAGCCTTCCCGTACCCGCGGGTAACACACACGGCCGCGTAATGGTTGTTCAGGTAAAACCAGTATCTCAGGAACTGTGGAAGCTAGGAAACTGAAATTTTATGGGTATGTCCCTTGAACACGTGCGACCCAGAAAACTGAAATTCAGCCTTCCCGTTCATGCGGATAACGCGTACGGACCCGTAAAAGTTTTTCGGTGAAATCAGTATCTCGGGAACCACGGAAGCTAGGAAGCTGAAATTTTATGGATATGCCCCTTGACCACGTGTAACCCAGAAAATTTAAATTCAGTCTTCCCGTGCGCTTGGGTATCGTGTGCGGTCGCGTGAAAATTTGGGGGGAAATTATCTCGGGAGCCATCAAAGCTAGGAAGCTGAAATTTCAGGACGATATTTTTTGCCGCTGCAGGTATCTCACAAACTCAAATATAGCTCCCAAATATGTAGAGGTCTTACATAAGACTACGTGAGGATTGTGGCGTGCAAGTCGCTAGCTCAGAAACCAAAAAATTACAAGGTTGAAATTTGGAGGGATTTTCCCCATCCATATTTTTAAATGCAGCTTTCACGTACCGGCACGTGAAATTTTCAGTGATAAATCACTCATCTTGGGAGTTAGACAGCATATTTAATATTTTTCCATAAGATATTTATATTTTTAGTAAGCAAACGTCCGCTAGACGGAACTGCGCAAAACGCATGGTCGCATCGGCTAACCTGGTGCGCTTCGCTATTTCATGAACTTCCCAAGTTTTTTTCTTTGTGAATAACCTGAGAGATACTGATTTTGTGCATCGGAGAGGAGTGGTGAGAGCCGGCAAGCGTGCGTTTAACAGACTGTGAGACCTGTTTCAAGCGTAACTTTTCAGGCGAAATCGTTCATTCGTTTGTTAAAATTTTAACGAAATTCTAGACTATTTTAAAGCAGTTACAAGTTTTGACTTTTAGTTAAGCGAAACAGGTCCTTGGAAAAAAGGCAGCGCAAATTCTGTAAAAAAATGCTAGCTTCTGGGACTTTTTGTGTATTCCCATTGCTTTAAAGAATGCTTTACAGCTGCCAGCAAACATGGTTTCCATTCCCTTTCGTGAAAGAATCGCTAACTTAGCGTTCCTTCCAACAAAAATACATGGCAGAGCTTCAGCCAGTTCGGAATTTTCATGATGAGCATTTAACATCGCTGCCTCGTTTTCCACGCTGCCATTTTTAGACTTCGATGGATTGTCAAGTGAATACTTCAGTGAAAAAAGTTGTCTGGAACAGATCATTTATCCAATAAAATTTGAAAAATTAGAGTCATTCTGCCGATGATAATTAGATGAAATTCAGTTGGTCTGGCTAAGATTCGATCGGCTGATGGCCGGTAGAATTCGAAGTTAAGCAGTTTCCATTCAATTTTGCCTGTCCGCAAATTTGATAAAGCACAAAGCAATATACCTGTCGTGCTTAGGTGCAGTGTGCAATAGCTATCTGCTCTGCTGTGCAGCAATCATTTCCATCATTTTCTTTGTATATCTGACTTGTTATTGACGGATGTTGCAGTCTTTAGTTAATTTAATTAAAACTAAATTCAAAGTAAAAGCATTTGAACTGAAGGGTTAGGAAGCTTCTCGATTTTCAGAAACAGAAGTTTCGAGAAGCATTCACCGGACGGTTAGCGATGATCACTGTTGGTGTGAGCGTTATCCTTGTTATTGCTCTGTCTGGCTTCCGAGAAAAGGTGAGTGCATTAGCCGTCAGCCAAGCAGATTTTTTGCTAATATTAGCTTTCCACTACATTTTTGACAGTAATAATTAAAAAAGCTACAGAGATTATTTCCCAGCCAACTCTCAGATTTTGCAAAACCTGTGGTACTGTCGACACTGTCATCACTAGCGAAAGTGCGCGTGACGAAGGTTTTTACCAGTCTGCTTCCCGAATCCTGTAAATTCGGCTCAGAAAGTTCACTGCCTGAGCCATTAATGTGGCAAAAATGACCGCACGAATGCTTGCGTTTGTTTCCTCGTAACGAATATTTATAATTTGCCATGATTACGAAAATTGTAGGGCCATTGGTTTGGGTAAGCTGAAAGAGTGGGAATTAGCCGTGTAAGTAAAAAGGCGTTTTTCTGTTTTTTGATCCATTCCTGGTGATGTTCTGTTTTGAGGGTTGGTTTTTACAGAAAATGAGACAGCTGGAAAATGAAAGGAAGCAGACAATTGGCAAAGCTCGAATTGGTGGTCCATGGGAATTGCTTGACACTGATGGTAATTTGGGAGGATCTGAACAGCTCAAAGGCAACTGGCTGCTGCTGTATTTCGGTTTCACACATTGTCCCGATGTTTGCCCGGATTCGATTGAAAAAATGGTCGAAGTGAGCGATTTTTACTGCCTTTTCAATCTACCCTTAAAAGTCTTCGAATTTTCTGCACACGAAAATATATGCCTGTTTTACGAAAGCTTATTTAAGTGCATCAGTTCCGATTTCGGAATCTGCCGTAGCTTGAAACTGAAAAACAGCAATACGACAGAAAGAAACGCTTTGGCACACTTACTATATGTTTTAGGTTGTAAATATACTAGAAGCCAGCGAAGAAAAGATCAAAGTTATTCCGATTTTTATATCAGTCGATCCAGAACGCGACACCACGCAGCGAGTCAAAGAATATTGTTTGGAGTTTTCTCCAAAAATAAAGGGCTATACCGGCTCACCGGAGCAGGCATGTGTTTGTATTTTTCGAGCAAATTTTTCTGGCCCTTGGTTTTATAAACGAAAATAGTGACGAAAATAAGCATTTTAGTAATTATTGGTAGTAATGTCAGTGACGACGATAATGCGATAATAATAGCAGTAATGCCAATGAAGAAAATATTTGTGACAAAATTAAATTTTATTGGACACAATAATGAGAAGGAATATGATATTAATAAATTTCGAATAACTGACTGAAGAGTCAGACCCCCCTCCCTTCCTCCCCCTCCCCCCATCCTCCTCTCCCTCCCCTCTTCCCCGCTGTCAGTGTTCCACACTGCGTGAAAGACAGAGGCACTGTCGAAATAGTTCGATTGGTAGCAAATTCCATAGCATTACCTGCTGGCAAGGCTATCAGTGGCTGGCTCTGTTGTGGAATGCCTATGAAAGCAAGTTAAATGGCAAGTTTGATTTTTATTATGCGTTTTTGCCGTGCAGCGCTAGAGCGCTGCAACAGGCAGCAAAAACGCATATTG